TGTTGGCCACCTCCGCTCAGCCACCTGCCATCCTCTTCCCCTTCCAAGGACGCCGCTCAATTGGCTGCTTTCACCACTGCCTCATCGAATAAGCGTATCTCTGAGGTGGAGGCCCGATGTCGGGCTCAGCAATCTCGCGCAAACCGACTTCATCCTCTGCTCTATGCCACACGAAGTCGTGAGGATTCGGAGGCTCGCTTTTCAGCCATCCTTTACAGTAACCGTTTCCAGTGGGCCCCGGATGTAGGCCTTTCATTCATGTCTTCCGTATTTCCGTATCCATTAAATGGACCTATGATTCTACCACTTGAATAACTAGTTGAACTTCTTCTATGCTAGGTAACACTCTTAGTTAATGCTCCTCACAGTGTCCGAGTTCGAAATTAAGTAAAATGACGGCGCTTAATCGGTTGAATACGCAGCTGCAGCCCCCCTCCCTCCTGCGATTGACAGCTGTTAGGGATAGAAGAGGAAAGAATGAAGGAATTTTGATCTTGACTCGTTAATTTAAAGCCTACCTGGCCATCTACTTACCTAAAAATTTCCTTTTTCAGGTCTTCAGGACTCTCTCTGTGAACTATTCAGAGCAACTAGTTGCTTGCGCATCAGCTTTGGTTATGCGCGATGGCAGGACCCCTCTGCTCACTTTAGTTCCCTTTCGCGATGCGAGCAAGCTTTGCAATAAGGTCATGGTAAGTTAAACGGAGATTACATCATTCATTTCAAGCATAGCTACCGCTATCAGCCAATCATACCGCAGGTCCAGTGTTGAAAAATTTGATATGCAAATCCATTCCAGGTTGATCATCGAGAATTTGAGTCTACGTTTCTACAAATCGAGTCATGAATTTATGCCTTGTTGCCTACATTCGTCCGCTTCCTTTGACTGGATCACGCCCATATGGCCAGACTGTAGGACAGCATGTGGTTGATCCTTCTTATGCAGTCTCATGGGTAGCAGTAGAGCATTATTACCGACATTGTACGTTAACCAATCGTCAAGTGCTCAAACTCCCTGATCGTTGCAGTACGAGGTTGGACTATGGTTGACCTATCACCGTAAATTACAAGGCTTCCTTTTGCGGCCACTCTTTTCTTTCCCCTCACAGGCTACCCTAAGGCACAGCGCATCGTTTGCAGTCCAATTTTGTTTAAAAGACGGAAAGGTAAAAAGCCTTAAACTCCAATACAAAAGCGCAATACATTTCTCGAATTCATGCAGATAATTTAAAAAAGAAAAGAATTTTAAGCGACAAACAGGTATCCATCCGAATACCTACACAGAGTCAATATAAGCTCTTACGTACTTCTTGCATACAGTAAGCCGTTGTTATATGAAATGGCTACGATGGCTGGCATACCAATAGCTTGATGTTTGTCGCGTTTGACCGAAAACGTATCCACACGTGAGGGAAGAACACAATGAGCGGCTAGAGCGTTCTAGACTGCAACTGTGTCAATCGAGTGCGGTTGGTCGTGCACAATCCGTCAATGACCTTGTCAGTAGCACCACTGAATTCCTTTAGGACCAGCAGGCCCAAACGATATAAAGACTTTTTTCGTCGATCTGGCTGGCCAAGACGATACAAGGAAGGTGCGACTCCTACTCCATATATTTGGTCCTGCCGAGCTCGAACGCTATGTCTACTTCATTATTCATAATAACCTACGAGGAATCACTTTCGCGCACACATTGCAGGCGTTTTCTCATATTTTCAGTCAACAGTCGTTCCTGCTCAACTCTCTATTCCTACTCTGCCAATGGGAATCCGACGATTTCATCACGCATGCGGGAGTTATTAATCGTGGGTGTGAATGTTTTCAGCTAGGTTTTCTCAGAAAAGACCAATTTAAATGCCTCGTTTATCTCTGTCGAATATATAACTAGGTAGGAACTATGGGGGATTCTGCAACATCTTGTACCAAACGCTGTTGCCGGTCAAAACGCAAATCCAAACC